GGGTTTAATATTTTTCCTAGAACTTTTTTTTTTTTTTTTTTTTTTTTTTTTTTTTTTTTTTTTTTTTTTTTTTAAAAAAAAAAAAAAAAAAAAAAAAAAAATCCCTGGGGAGGCGAGAGGGGGGACGGGGCCGAGATGCCGGTGGTGGCTGCGGGGGAAGACGAGCTGCGGCTGCCGGGCTCGCCCGGCGTGCTCCGTCTTGCTGCCGCCGAGCTGGGGCTCCCCGCGCCCGCACCAGCCGTGCTTGCAGGTGTCTGTGCCGCAGGGGCTGGCCCCGAGGCCACACTCGCTCCCGCAGCGGGGAGGAGCCCCCCCATTCCACCCCCCCCCCCCCAGCATTGGGTGCAGCTCCCTCCCAGCCCGGGCCCAGGAGTTGGGAAAGGGCAGCTTTCCCCGCTGACGCACCAGGCAGAAACTGGGCTACCAACCAGTCGCCCCAGCTGGCATGTGGCCACGACGCGGCCCCATGCGCCAGGCCGGAGGCCGGCACAGCAGCTCCCGGGGACGCAAGGGCCCGCAGTGGGCATGTGTCCCTGCGGGGAGACGCTGCCGCCGAGCTGCTGCCTGCCCAGTTGCTGGAACACTGTTGAGTAGCCCCTGTATGGCCATAAGTAGCCCATGGAGGGCTGTGAGTAGCCCATGGAGGGCCGGGAGTAGCCCCTGGATGGCCATGAGTTCCCTGTGGAGGGCTGAGTAGCCCCTGGATGGCCTATGAGTAGCCCCTGGAGGGCTGTGAGTAGCCCCTGGATGGCCATGAGTTCCCTGTGGAGGGCTGAGTAGCCCCTGGATGGCCTATGAGTAGCCCCTGGAGGGCTGTGAGTAGCCCCTGGATGGCCATGAGTTCCCTGTGGAGGGCTGAGTAGCCCCTGGATGGCCATGAGTAGCCCCTGGATGGCTGTGAGTAGCCTGCAGAAGGCTGTGAGTAGCCTCTGATTAATCATGAGTAGCACACGGAGGGCCATGAATAGCCCCTGGATGGCCATAAGCAGCTCACGGAAGGCCATGAGTAGCCCACAGAGGGCCATGAGTAGCCCATGGAGGGCGGCTGTCCCTGCCCTGCACCAAGGCTGGGGTCTGGGCCCCAGAAAGGGGCTGTTTCCCCCAATCTGGGGGGGGGCCACCTCTCAACCAGCCACGCACAGGCAACACCACGGGAACTGCCCACCCTGCTCGGAGCTGCCATTGTTGCTCAGGAAACAGCTAATTAGTCGCTCCTGCTAATTAGCCCGAGTCCTCCCTCATGATACCAACTGCTCTTTTTTTTTTTTTTTTTTTTTGCAGAAGGATGCGCAGCTGATAATTAAAAACAAGAAAGTCCTTTGGCTGGTATGTGAAGAAGCCGGGGAGGCTGCCAGGAAGGCAGGTCCCGGCATGCGTCACCACCAGCCGCGCAGCTCGTCCAGCCGGGCCGGCAGTGCCGGCTCTCAGGCCCCACCGGGACGAGGGGGCACCCCTGGATAGAGGGGCACCCCCGGACGGAGGAGGAACTGCAGGACATAGCCCCCTCCCAGTCTGCAGCAGGGACGGCTCAGCTGCAGGGCACCCAGCACCCTTCCCAGTGTGGGGCTGCGCTGCGTCTCCCTGCCGCTGCCTGCGGAGTCGGGGGGCAGAGGAGTGGGGAGCCGCCCCCCGGCATGGGCCGAGCCGCCCTGGCAGCCCAGGGGAGACCACAGGCTTTGGGCTTTTTGCAATTTAAAGGCTGCGCCACCTGCTCCACCCAGGCAGCCGCTCTCCTCCACCCCCGGGAACGCGGCCAGCAGGCTGGGACGGGTTCTGGCTCTCCCACCCGCGGGTGAGAACCACATCTGAAGGGCAGCCGGGAAGGCGCCCCGCTCGCCGTGCTCCCCAGTGCCGCGGGGCTGCGGGGCCAGGCCCTGTCCTGTCCTCGCCACCCTGCAATCCCTGCCTCTCCCCAACCCAGCTCCGAACTGCTGGGAGAGGGAGAGGCCAGGCTGGGCTCCCTGCAGCCTCCTGGGGCTGCGCGGAGACCCCTGCTCTGTGCAGAGCCTCCCCAGCACCGCCTGCACCCCAGGGAGAGACGAGCCATTTCCCACTGTCCTGGTTTGATTGACACAGGATTCATTCCTCTTTCATTTTACTTTTCAATAAGGTCTCTTCTAACACTTGGGAAAACCACACTTTCACACATCCAGTGGCTGAATGTGTGAAAATATTTACATTACAGCCAGCTCTGGGGTGGGGGTTTCAAGGTCTCAGTGTTTCCAAGCCTTGCCAGGGACAAGGAGAAGTGAGACCCGGGCACTAGACCCAAGCTGCCAACGAACAGCACAATCAATAGGAATTAGAAAGTTTCCCGAGGAGCTCTCTCTCTCTGAGAACTCCTTGCCCCGGTGCTGGAGCCCTGAGCCCTTCCCTCCCTCCCGAAGCCGCAGCGCTCGCAGGGTCCCACATGGGCTGTCCCTGCGGGGAGAGCACGGCTTCTGCTGGGAATGGGCTGGGGACAGTCCTGGTGTGTTTTATATTGGTATCGGGATCAATACTGGTTCTTTAAAATTATTAATGATAATTATTTAGTCTTATTTTAGGAAATCTGTTTATATTTCAACTCTCAGGTTTCCTTGTTTTTTCCCTTCCCGGGTGGGGAGGGCTCATCGGGTGACAGAAGAATAAATCGTTGTGGCTTCCAGCAGCGTCCCAGTGTCCTCAGCTGCCTGTGGCCCCCAACCAGGGCAGCAAAGCCCAGGGGAGCCGCAGCAGGCCGGTCTCTTTGCCCACCCTGCCCTGGCAGCCACCGTCCCTCGGGTTTATTGGGGTCAGAAGCGCAGCCCCCGCCGGCGCAGGTCCTCCCGCGCCGCGCCGATGTGCTCCTGCAGCTCGGCGGCCGCCTCCTCGCAGTCGTTGAAGGTGGCCAGGCGGTAGCCCACGGTGGCCAGGGAGTAGCAGCCGAAGGCCACCAGCAGGTAGACGGGCAGGGGCAGCAGGGCCTGCCGGTACGGGGCGGGCAGCCGCAGCCCCGGCGGCGCCAGCGCCAGCGCGGCCCAGGCCGAGCCCAGCAGGGCCAGTCCGCACAGCCACTGCCCCAGCTTGGTCATGGCGGCCTGCGGGGAGAGGGGCCGTGAGAGCCTACCGGACCGCGCCCCCCGCCCCGCGGCCTCCCGCGCAGCTCCCGGCCCCGAACCCCTCCGGGCCTTCGCCAACCGGGCCCCGGCCCCCGCCCCCACCTGGATCGGTCCCGGGCCCGGCGCCCGCGCTCCCCCCCGTCGACCGCCATTCCCCCAGGAGCGGCCCCGGGGACTGGGGGATCCCCCCCCTACCTGGGACAGGGGGAGCACGGATCTGCCTAAGGCTGTGCCGGCACCGCTGCTGGGCGGCAGCTGGGAACACAGGACCCCCGTGGCACCGGCGAGGCAGAGAGCTCCCCCCAGACTCCGCCGCAGCCTGGCAAGCGAGTGGCACCGCTCTCAGCCACACTGACACACACCTGGGCCACAAGCCGGCGAAGGAACCAAACCCAGCTACAAAGAAATGGCTTTATTGGGGAACTGGGAGCCCCAGGCCAGGTTGGGGGTGCAGGGGGATTGCCCTGGGAGGGGTGGTGGGATATCAATTCCTCTTCCTGCCTTTGCCGACAGCCTTGGCAGGAGCAGCGACGGGCGCTGCAGACTGGTAGAGGGTGGAGGAGATCTTGTTGATGTAGTAGAGGCCAACCATGGAGAAAATGAGGCTGTGGGGAGAAGAGAAGAGGCTGCTCAAGCTGTCAGCAGAA